TATAAAATATAAAAAATATAATAAAAGGATAATAAATAAAAAAGAAGAAAATGTAATAAATAAAAAAGATATATACATCTTCTTCTCCTATTGTTGCGCAAATCTTACGCGGGAAGAGCGGAGTCGTGGTCATGTGAATTTCAATATCGACTTCTGTCGGTTTCGCATGACTCATTCGGCAATCAAAATCGGCAGTAAACCGATTAATTTGAAAGACAGCGAGGTACGAGCATGATATTCACATTTTCCGTTTCACGTTAAAAAAAAATAATAATAATAATACACCACGCACTGGTACGATCTGATGTAATAACATAAAAGTCTCATGTAAAACAATGGTAATTGCGTGCTTTATTGTCTCGTGGGGACGGGGGGACGACAGATCTTTACGATCTATTAAGCATGCCTCGGTTAATCAGCTCGAGGCCGTTTATCATTATGCACATCGTCGAAATGATACTTCGCGATTACATTATCGTGAAACGACGAAGAAAACCCGAAGGAAAGGCACCGCCGGTTCACGATCGCCGATTGATCGTAAATTAATTCCACCCTCTACCGCCGGCCTTTCTCTTTCCTTCTACATCAGCGATACAAATAAACCGCATTACGCCACGCTACAAATCTAGGTCTCCTAATCAATTAATTAGTGCATACGAATGTGAAACTCGAATAACTGAATATGTGATTTACATTCCAGCGAGTAAGGATCGGCATTCGAACGGATATATGAATTTCGATTCATTCGCGAATCCACGAATATCCGTCCGATATCATCCCGTCCTGTCCCGTCCCGTCCCGTCCTGTCCCCTCCCCTCCGCGTCCCGCCCCGCCCCGCCCTGCCCCGCCTCGTCCCGCCCTCTCCCTCCTGCGAATTGCGCAAGAGCGGCTCGACTTTAATGTCAATGTTAAACGCGCGCGACGACGCGCTTGTTTTGCGGTAAAGCAACGGTATAACTTGCCGGCAACGAGCGACGAAATCGAGCGAGTGATCCGTCTCCTCGAGACGGGACAACGTGTCGAGTCAACTTCGAAAAGTGACTCGAGAAGTTCGCTCGCGCGAATTGCGAAAGGCGGCAATCGCGATTGGATCGCGCGCGCGCGCGCGCGCGCACGCGCGCGCACGCGAGAGAGAACATCTCGGGGGCCCGCAGTTACGACACACGCACGCAATTACGCAACTTGCGTAACCTACGCGCCGCGACCACCGTCGCGCTACACTGGCGGGAAACTAACTGGTGTGTGCCGGTGTGCCGGTGTGTCTCGTCTAAAAAATGAAATATCTGTGAAAACCAGATGCAACCTAAAGATTAAGACGCAAGAACAGAAAATTTCCTGGTCGATTATCTTTAAATATTTCTACAAGTAAAATTAGACATTATCTGGGATAGATATAGAGAGAAGAGGAGAGAAGAGAGTTTACTCTCTCTTAAAGAGAGTAAAATCTTGGAGATGATTTATTATAGAGAAAAGAAAACGAAAAAGATGGCGATCTCTTAGGTTTGATGATTTTTGTTAATTTCTGAGCTAACGTAACAAAGATTTATTTTATTTCAGATTTATTAAAGGCTTGCTTATTTGTAAAAATTAAAAGTTGATATAAATAAATAGGAATTTGTGAAAATTTATGTATCTTAAGAACTCATCAATTTTATCATTTTGCCTATTATGCAAAATATTGTATATGCAAGATAAATTTTTAATAAGATCAAATTAGATAAACAAATTTATTATAATAAACTTCTTACATTATTTATAATGTATTTTAATTCAGATGTTAAAAACAATAAAGCAAAAAATAAATGAAACAAGAAATGTTATATATGATCTGAAAAAAATATAATTACTAAGCATTAAAATGTAAAATGACTTTAATGATGACTTATAAATATATAATGTAAAATAAAATTAAACAAAAAATCAAAATAATTAATGCTCTTCTCTTGCATCGTATTTAATTATCCATTTCATAAAAATATTGCAACATTATATAAAAAGCATTATATAAAAACAAAACAAAAATATTAATACTTTTCTCATATATTTTGAAAGATTATATCGTAATTTCGCAAACAAACAAAAAATTAGCAATTCATCATCTTACTCGTTTTATTATCTTATTTCTCTTTCCTTTATTTTTAGCATTACGATTTTAAAAAGAAAAAAGATAGAGAATGATATATTATTGTTAAGTAAAATCATCTAGTTTTTCCAAACTTCAAGGACATTGATACTAAATGGAATAAATTATTTTATTTATCTATCTTATATTTATCCATTAATGTACTTTAAGCGTGAAACGTTGAACGTTTTTACAGAATCGAGCTTCGTGCTACGAATCAAGGGCGATCGGCGTTTTCGAATTCTGCTCTCGTGTATGGCCTATGGCCGTGAGGGTTATACGGTGAAGTTCTCTCCTCGACAGACTCGTTCTTTTTTTCCTTCTTCTGTTTTTTTGGGACATCCAAGTCAGAGCGTTGCATAATCCGATCCGACTGATCGGCGAGCGAATCCATTAACCCTTAAATTGACGCAATTTGGCTCAAATTGTTTTCGCCTTATTTCTCAATATGAAGAACGAAAGAGAGAGCGAGAAAAAGGAAATATAAAAAAATTCAGATTTCGAATGAAGAAATAATCGCATTAACAGATGTCGTTAATGAATATTTCGAAATATCGTTATTCATTTAGCAAACTATAAAAGTATTCAATATCTTTTCAGATTTTTCGTCGAAACACACGGATAAATCGTGCATGTTGAGGCACTATTACACAGAAAAAAAATTAGTTTTGAATCGAGACAAATATTCTCATATATATATATATATATAAGCAAGAATATTATAATTTTGTCAAAAATTTGATTTTGTTAAAAGTTTTGATTTGATTAAATTTGTATTGATGCAAATATTACTTTTGCATCTCAACTCAAGACTAAAAATCTTCCATACGGAAGATTATAACATTCTTATATACGAGAATATTTGTATCAAATACAAATTCAATCAAATCAGGACTAGAATTATTCTAAAAAGATTATAATATTCTTGCTTACGAGAATATCTGAATTTAAGATTAAATTTTTTTCCGTGTAACGCCGATTGCGCAACGATCATCGCCCTTCGATCCGGAGTGCATCGAAGTGGATCGAAGAACGGAAAGAAAACGGAGAGAACGGGAACGAGACGGACGTAGAGGATTTAGCCGGATTAATAAACGGCCGATAAAAGTCAAGTGACCCGACTGCGACAACGATGCGGTCAAGGTGGCGTGGTTTCGTAATTCAGCCGCCTTCGCCGTCGCTGTCACCTGGCATGCCAATTACACGCGACGCTCTTTCCTTTTTCTTATTACGCGCGCGCGCGCGCGCGCGCGCGGTATCGAGACTAACCCACTTTCCGTGGGCGACCGGCTCGAGGAACTGGCCGCGGTCTCTTTCCTCCTCCGGCCGATTATCCCTTCGGCCCCTCTCACATCGACGACCGACAGCTGATCGCTGGCCCCTCTCGACCTTCACTCGTTTGTCGCGCGAAAGGAGCCTCTCTTTCGAGTGCGAAAAATTCTCTATGTTCTTATTGCCCAATTATAGAGAGCGGCGTTCCTCCCCGCCCCCTCCCCTTTTTTAAATTTTATTTTCGATTTCGGGTGGTGTCGCGATTGCACAAAAATCTGACGAAACCACGATGTATAAATGTCGTGTCGGATATTAATTGGAGATCCTGATCGGAGAGACATGTGGAATTTTCCAGGAATTCGTTACTCGACGATATTTGCGATTATTCATTAGCAACGTTTTCCGCACGAAAAATAGACGCGAGAAAGACGCGTGAAAGAGAAAAAAAAGGAGAGACGGGAGATAAGGATCGGATTTCTCATTTCCTTGTCACATATTTCTTCACCTAACGTTCGCTCTTCCTGTGTATGTACTTCACGTTCCATTCGCGCCTCCCAAGCCCATGGTTTTGCCGATAGACTCCCGGTAACATTAAGAAAACAGCGTAAGAAATCTGTTACAAGAAGCGACGCGGTCTTGCGACACGGCGCGCTAAGCAAACAATTGTAAATCACGAGTCTCAGCGCGGTTGATCCAGCCAGGCGGCGAGGATCAAATCCCGGGAGGATCAAATTCCCTGTGGCGAAGAAGCGTAAAACGGAGGACTTACCGGCGTACGTGCTCTTGAAGCTCTCGTGGAGCTTGAAGGTGAAGGGAATGTGGACCTTCATCATCTCCATTTGCGGTATACGCGGCGAATGTGTTATCACGCCGCCGCCACCGCCGCCGAACATCAGGTCGTCGCCGTGGACGCGCAGCACCATCATGTTCCTGCAGAAGAGACAAAATATGCCTTTCAGATCGATCGAATCAAATTCGCAACGACTCGCGGAGATCGATCTGATACACGATAAAGATCTAAAGAAAAATAATTTTCTTGAGTCATCAAAATAATTATGTCAGAATCTCAAGGGTGACGATTATGGAAAAAAGATCTTTATATTCTAGTAAATAATTTGAATAATTATTGCCTTGTATGATTATTTTGATTGGTCAATAAATCTTATCTTTAAATTAGAATTTTTATTATACCTGGAAACTTCCATAAAAATGCCTGGATTTATCGTTCATCTTTTTGTTCTATTTTTATAAATTATACTAAAAAATTAAATTATTTAAAGAATAAAAAATAAAATACGGAACGCATCTTAAAATTATAATTTTTCCTTTCAGTTATTTGATTTTTTAAGAGATACGAAAGATATTTTCACGTCAACAGTTCGAGTCAACAGTTTTCAAGGTGCCCGATTGAACTTTGCCGAGCAGATGACGTGCAGTGAAGGAAGAAAAACATAAAGTCGTTGTTCGATCAAGGTTTCTCGATTTAATAATCGCAACAAAAAATAATAATCTCTACATTACTTTTCAATTAGATAGAAATTTCACCAATTACGAAAAATGTAAAAAGACTCGTTCAGCGCCGCATAGAATCTCGGAGAGACCGTTAGTCTGCGACAGTAGGTCAATCGAGAAATCATGGAAAAAAGAATCAGATTTACCATGTAGGAAAGTGGTTTCATCGAAAGTTGCCCGCGCTGGATACCGTTAATTTAATTTCGGAATCGATTGGCAGAATCGGAAAGCACGCGCTGCGACTTCGGGCTAATGTCGACATTAAATTTCACGCCGCGAACAACGTCGGGGAGGATGCAGAGGACCGCCGACATGCAAAGCAAATATTAACGCGATCGTTCAATGGTGCAATTAACATACAGGCGACCGGCTATTTCCATTTCGATATTAGTCGGGTTCGAATCGAACTGAGCCGGACTGTCAGTGACCTTGCGTCCTTGAGACGTAAAAGAATACGTGGTGCTGTGATAAAAGTAAATCGACAACGGGTCAGGGGTTTAGAACCTGAACCTGGACCGATTTAGAACCTGAAAAGACTCTTCGATTCTAAAACTCGAAGTCGAAAGATAATAATAATCGTGAGATTTTAACGGGCACTCCCGCGAGAAAGGATCTTAATTGTCAAGGATAAAATTAACAATCTAGAAACGCGAGAGTTTAAAAATAAAAAAAAAAAAACTAGTTCTCAAGGTCGCATGATGATAAAAATTTCGTGCATTAATAGTCCTCTTCCGCGAAAGTTAATACGACTCTCACTCTCGTAAGGATTGTAATGAAATTGTATCGCTGTTCTCCCGCAACGCCACGTGTGTTCAAATTAATAGTTAAGTTAAAGATAATAATAAATTATAAAGCTAAATTTAGCTTTTGCTTTGAGTTGCCACGTTTTAAGTCTATTAAAAGTTATAATAATGCGTGGTTTGGGATATAAAGTATAATTGTTTCAAATTTATAGGTTTATATTATAAATTCAATAAAGGATTATAGGATATAATTCATTGAATAATGCTCTCTCTGATCTGTTTATTTAAATTATAAATTGTACTATTATTTTCGCAAACCGCAAAGAAAAAAATCGCGTTAAAAAAATCGCGTTAATTTAAAGTAACGCGTAAACCGTCCTGTTTGCCAAGAATGTAATTTTACTTTCTTATGTGCAAAAAATCACGAGATAACCAGAATCTCCGATGTAGCAATCGGTGCCTCGCCGAAAAATTCTGGCAAAATTTGGAGTATAAGACTCAGCTCGGCAGTGAAATGGAAAAACGAAGGAAGATCGAACGTGTTTCTCGAATTCGAAATGATCGAGCCGAAACTGGAATTTCATTCTGATTCGACATCGGCGATTCGCGAAAGCCGGAAAGGAGGAAAGAGAGCACCGTACGATTACGATGACAATGATGACGATGACGATGACGACGACAACGATAAGGACGACGAGGGGGAATTTACTGCTCGCGATTGCGAGAAGTTTCACGATTTACAAACAGTGCGACTTAGCTTTCGAGACTCTTTCGTGCCTACTTTCGAGACCCCGAGCACGAAAGTGGCTGCGTCACTCGAGAAAATCAGAGATACTTATCGCTCGTTGTGTCGTCGCCGTCATCATCGTCGTTGTTGTCATCGTCGTCGTCATCGTCGTCGTCGTCGTCGTCGTCTCGAAGCGCGGAACTCAGCGCGACTGTCGGCTCCATTCTAAATCACCGACTCCCAGGAAGCCTCTTGATCTTCCGTACGTCGCCCGTAAAGAGAAGTTGAGGAGAGAGAGAGAGAGAGAGAGAGAGAGAGAGAGAGAGAGAGAAGTTGGAAAAGAAAATAAAATAAAAATTGCGCTTAGTCGTCGGAACGCGCGATTTTTCTAATCTCGCAGTGCTACGAAAGATTACTTCCTAGTTTCCCCTTTCCCTCTTTCTTCCCTGCATCCTTCGAGAATTCACGGGGGATTTCTCGAAGTCAAAGACCGGATTCCCGTTCGTCGCGACGTACGAAACGAACGAGACGCGCGTTGTTTACATCGCGCTATTGTGTCGAGAATCATTATCTCGAGAAATCACGAGAGAGACGCTTCGAGTTTCGTCTTCCGTAAAACACGATTGCATTTTCCGTACGAGATCGGAGTTGAAAACGAATTTTCGCGAGATTGCTTTTCTCTGCATTAATTTATTATATCTATAGATAGGTAGGTCAATTAGTATGAATGTCATAGTATGCAATAATTGGTCGAACAATTTATACATGGAGAAAACCATTTTCTGGTTGAAAATGGACAAACCAGAAGATTCTGATTATATCAATCAGAATTCTGGTTACCTCAACTAAAATTTTAGTAGATTTAAGCGAAAATTTAGCAGATTTAAGCAGAAAATTGTATTTTGTCCATTTTCTATCAGAATTCCAATTAATCCGATCAAATCTTTTTCTCAGATAATAATAATGTTTTATTATATTTATATATACAAAATCTCTCTCTCTCTCTTTATATATATATATATTTATTTATCAATCCATTTTTTTGTTAAGTTCATATTAAATTAAGATCACGATTGGAAAGGAATTTCAAATTCAAAAGCTTATTATTAAACTTTTAAATTAGTTTTCGTTCTTCTGATTAGTTAAACTTCAATCTAATCTTAATTCTAATCCGTATTCTGATATAAGTTTCATGCTGTTAACAACATATATATCAAAAATTACTTTCAGATTATGATATTATTTTTATGAAATCTCTAAGCAGAATCTGTAAAGCATTTCTTCTCGAAATATTGCTAATTTTATTCATATTTTTATCTTATTTTCTTATCTTGCTATGACTGCCAACTGATCACTCAAAAGAGATAAAATTTTTCTTTTGCATTATATAATTTTATCTAAACATCAAATTTATGTATATCATCGAATTTATATACAAATTATTAAAAGATTTTTCTTATCAACGCGGAAAAAATAATTTAATTTGCTAGAATTTTGTTTCAACGTGAATTAATCGGAAATTCCGTCAAGTTATCAGAAGTTATCAAAATTTAAACTAGCAAGACTTTAGATTAATTTAAACAGAAGTGATAATTTCAATTAGAATTTTTGACTCATTTGTTTTGAAACAGAATTTTGATCCACCCAACCAAACTACTTTTTCCGTGAAAATATGTTTTTTTGGAGTTTCCAGTAAAATAACATAATTTTTTTGTTCTTTCCACATTAAAAGTAAGTTAATAATTATAATAATATAACTATTTCTTACGCGTATTGTATGTATACTTATGCTTTTTTTTATCTGTTTTAAAAGAATCTAATTTTTTATAATTATACATATATCATCAGACATATTATTCATCATATATATGACCAAATTTTTCCTAGTTATCCTAATACAATATGCATTTTACAGAATTATTCTTTAATATTACGGATATAAAATGACAATAATAGTTGATCAATATATAAAATTCTTATTAAAGAAGCCTCATTCTTTTTTATCTGTATACAGATATTCATATTCACATATAAATCGAAGACTGTATTGTAGAACTTTTAAGTTAATTTCTACTTGAATCGATAGTTGGAATATTAATTTTTTTTATCGCCATAGCAACTGCATTTTTAGAATATATATTATTTCGAGGACAAGTATCATATTGAAATGTTAATTTAGTCTCTACTCCATATATTGGTAACATAATAATAATATGAATATGAATTTTTCTTATGTGTCTCTTCGTGGTCACAATTTTGTCGAATACATCGTGGCTTTTGGAGCAAACGATGACGTCACGATCATTGCCTTGAGTTTTAACTCACATCCGAATAACTTCATCAATCAACGCCGGTGACCCAAGACGTAACTGCGTGACGTCATTTATCGCTTCCGGAGCTAACCGAACGTTGTTAGACAACCACTATGAGAGATCCATCGAACTTTACAAGATGATAAACATTTTGAAAAAAAAAAGAAAAAAAGATCGCTTTAAAAACGCAGCGCATTTAATTTATTTTTACGCAACGCCTTCTTTTCCGGCAGCGAATCCTCTTTTTTTGTTTTCAATCCGTCATAAAATTATCGTCCTCGAATGATATGATTCTTTTTTCACGCGTTCTTCCGAACATTATCATACGCATAATGCGCATTGTATAATAATGCATATTAAACATATCGCGATTCACACGGCGATGTTTTTGTTCAAGAGACCGATCGCGCCGATTCACTGCGAAGGATCGAAAGACTTATGAGTTCCTGATGACGAGTTCAGCCTAAATTCCTCGGTCGTTCCGATCAGAAATATCGCGCGAACGTGAAAATCTCCGTTCCAAAAAATTCCATTCCGTTTTAATAAATTCTATCACATCACGAAAAACGCGCGGTTTCTCTATCGAATTCCGCCGAGGCGATAAAACGCACGAGTCGTTTCAACACGACGAAATCGTCGCTGCGGCAAAATACCGTTTGAATTATCCGAAGACATTCTCGCCTTCTTCTCTCCTCCGTCACAACCGCACGATTTTTTTTCGATACCGGCGCGATACGTGACGCTTTCGATTAACGCGTTTCATCGTATCTCCCGTTCAATGAATTGAATGACGTCACTCGAGAAAAAGATCGATTTGAGATCTTTCCTTACTTATCACTGTTTCTTTGACCTACGGCTGCGCTCTATTCTGCAAATGCGCGACAGAAAAACAGACTCGACGAAGCGGAGAAAGAGTCAGATGGCGAGAAGGAGAGAAAAAGATAGATGATAGATAGATAGAGAGATAGATAGATAGATAGATAGAGAGAGAGAGAGAGAGAGAGAGAGAGAGAGAGAGAGAGAGAGAGGAGAGAGAGAGAGAGGACACAGTGTCGTGTAATGTAACACTTACCTCATGATAAAGAGGAAGACCCCGCAGAAGCATATCAGCACGGCGAGCACCGAGAATATGTTGGACAGCTCCGCCACGGACACCAGAATCGCCGTCATCGTGTCGCACGTCCGTGATAACCGCCGTCGCCCGTCGCCGTCGCGTCCTCCTCAGCACCGGGTGGTCCGCCGCCCGTACCCGCACACATGCACGCACACACCCGCACACGATCAGCGTTTAATACCAACGACAACGACAACGACGACGACGACAGTCGAGCGCACCTCGACGCCGCTCGGCTGTCAAACTGTCAAACGGATAACGAGCCTGCTCCCTGCCCCCCGTTAACGTCGCCCCTGGGATGTCGGCACGACGCTTCGAGCGCGCCGTCGTCGACACCACCTTCATCGACGTCCCGTGGCGCGCGACGCCGTGTAGCGGCTACTACACAACGAGCTTACGCAATTAGCGCGGCAGACGAGACGCCGCCAGCTGAGAGGCGATACGTGTCGTATTCTCTGTCATAGCCGCCACTGCCGCCGTCACCGCAGCCACCGCCGCCGCCGCCGCCACCGCACGATCGGATCGGAGCGGAGCAATGCAACGAGGGATTAGAATCTGACTGACTGTGAGCGTGAGAGAGATGGAAAGAAAGAAAGAGAGAGACGGAGCGAGATACACGGCGCAAGAGCGAGCGAGAAGATTGGCGCGCGTGCACACACCGCTCGACGGATGAGACGAGACTGACTGCGCGACCAGCGTGCGCGCGTCACTTATACGCACCCATGCGCGCCTATGTTCGTGCTACTCGTTCGCGCACTGCCCGAACGAGAACGCGGCGGCGTCACTGTCGTTATCGTCGTTGTTATGGAAATTGTGTGGACAAAAATTATCACAATAACAACAATAATAACTGACACGTGCGTGTTTACGTTCATGTAAAACGAGTAGTATTTAAAAATATATATACTGGATCAAAGATAACACCATTATTTTTATATGCTTATTTTTACTAGTATGCTCAATAATACATTTTGTTCGTATATGTGAATCCTTAATTTCAATTTACTATAATGTTTTTGAGAAAATTATTATAAATAAAATATACATATTCATAAAACATGAACAGTGCATACATTGATCATTAATATATCATAATATCTTTTACATTAACAAGAATGAAAAAGATACACGGAAAAAACAGCTTTGTTGACAAATCTAAAAATTTAACTAGATACATTTAAAAATAATTTTGTTGGATTAAATTATTATGTAGGGCGCTTAAACATAATATTGTAAACATTTTTTATTTTTTACATTTAATATGAATATTTGTACATAATAATTTTAAAGACTCAACAAACTTACTTTCAGATCTATATCTGGTCAAATTTTTAAATTTGCCAGTAAAACTTTTCTTTGTGTAATCCATACAGCATACAAACATTGAATCAATATTTTAGAAACATTGAATTGCAACATTGCAAATGTTAAATTACGTTTCAAAATATTTAAATTTAATATTAAAAAAACATTATAGAAATATCTAATGTTGAATTTTCATGTCTTTTCAGTTGAATCTACAATTCAAATTTTGAATATATATATATATATATATATATATATATTCAAACTTTGGGAAGACAATATTGTAATTCAATATTTCTAAAATGTTGATTTGTGTGTTTTATAAGTATCTTTTTTTCACATATCTTTAATCATATCTATTCTCAGGAATTTCCTTAGTTCTCTTCACCGCTCTCATTTCACTTCTTCTCTTGAAGAGAAAAAGAAAAAAATAAACCGCAGAAAGAATTTTGTTAAAAAGCAGGCTTATTGTTTTCATGCTACCCGATAAAATTTCAATGCTCTTGTTTGACAAAAAACGTCTTATCTTTTAAAAATAAAAAAGTCATTTTCTGAAAGAAAATTTATTCTTTACGATTATCATGTATATAAGTCCGTACATATTTTTTATCTCAGATACTATTAATAATGTAAAAACAGTGAAACAGTGAAATCGTTTGTTTTTTGCATGCATAAAATAGAATTCGCGATAACTAATCTTATTCAAAATAGCTTTTTAACTTTTAAATAGTTATTTACAACAAGATTAAAATGCATCACTACAAGCGATGCATATTAATTAAAAAATAACAATGACTTAAAGTAAATGTGAGAAGCCTTGACCAAATGAACGAATTAGCTTTAATATAGTTTATAAATATCAGTCGATTATTCAATAGTTAAAAAAATTATATGAAAAAAAGAAGTTATAGTTATATTTAGAAAATTAGATGAAAGAGATAAAAAATTAAAGAGATAAAACTTTTGATTTTATATTGTCTAGCTTCAGCAATTCTTCAACTTTGGATTTACAAGAAAACACGAGTGATTTTTTTTATTCTATGTCCGGGTACAAGTCCGGCAAGCTTAGTGACATTTAGAATCCAGAAAAATAAATGGAAATAAAGAATAAGAATAAAATATAAAAAATTAGGAACAGAAAATTTTGGAACACAATCAAAAATACTTTAGTATTTTTTTTTATTGTAGTTAGTATTTGTTTTGAAACTATAATTTCCAATAATAGTCAAAATGAATTCCCTGAAATTCTTTATTCAACACTTCGTTTCTTATTCCCATTTATTGAATCGGAGCCCTAAGTATCACTAGATTTGTCGTACCGTTTATTTCCGGAACGTAAAATTTTCGCAGCTGAGCAAACTAGTGACATCTAGGTCACACAGTCTCGCTCAAGACCGCGACGTCGAATGATCGGATTTATCCTTTTCGTTTGCCTATTGTTTCCGTCGTTGTTTCCTGTGAAGTTGCCGCATTCGGCAGTGGAGGGGACGGAAATGTCAAGGATGCTCGCGGTAGATTTCGAGATCTTTGGCATCGTGCAAGGTAACCTTATTCTCCCGGGCATTTTTGTATCATTATTATTGATTGCTCATCGATCACGTTATTAATAATTGTGCTTGTTGAAGGTGTCTTCTTCAGGAAGGTAAGTAAACCGGCGCACACTCATTCGAGGATTCGACAATTGATTATGGCAAATATCCGGAAATGGCCGGAAACAATCGACGAAGCGATTGTGCGCGAGGACCTTGAGACTCCTGGCTCGCGACATCTACCGGGTGTCTGATGCTCAATCGATTTAAATATTGCTATTATTCGCGTTATCTATCGTAAATATAGATGCTCACCTTTCTTATCGGTATTATCAATGTAATCTCTTCGCCATTCTTTTTTACCGTTGGTAATCTATGTCTATTTTTATTAATTTTATTAATTTTAATTTTAATCTCAATTTAACCTATACTATTTATTTCTAATGTTTTATTTTATTTCTAATTTTCTCTTTTTTTCTAATTTTTATAACTTAGAACTAAAAAAAATATAAGTTAAATCGAGATTAGAAATAGACATCATTGGAGCTTAGCTGAAAGTTTTAAGGCGCGATGTCTTAAAAAAGTCAATATAATTTCAAACGTTTTTGGAAATATTTTTCGTTACCGGTAAACTTAGGAATCTTGTCTGCTTGCAAATAATAGTATACGCAAAAACGTGGCAAGGAGCTGGGTTTAAAGGGATGGTGTATGAATACCCCGAACGGTACTGTGCTCGGCCACTTAGAAGGGGAGAAAACTCAAATCGAGAAGATGTAAGCAACGAAATCCTCGTCGAACAAATGATTGAATAAGTCAGAGATCATAATGTCTTCTATTTTTTTACTTTAGGAAAGACTGGCTTCGCTATACCGGAAGTCCTCAGTCGCGGATCGACAAGGCGGAATTCCGCAACGAGAAGGAAATCTCGCAGATATCGTTCTCCAATTTCGAAATCCGGAAGTAGAATCTAATAGAGAATAAGGAGTAACATGCACTAATTATAATATTTAGTTTTAGAATTGTTTAAGTTGTGCGCAGTAAAATCGTATTATTTAAATATATAATGTATGTGTATAATATATATATATATATATAATATGCAATTAATCTTAATAAAATTACAAT